AGACATTAATCAGAGCAGGACCCACCACCAGTGGAACATACTAGGCATTAAATAGCTGCTCACCTACGTGGCTACTAATACTGGGGTTTGTTGTCGTCACTCATTTGAACGGAGGAAGCTACTCAGACAAATAGTGAAGTGTCTTCAACTTTCAGAACAAGTCCAGATGAATGCAACTACTACTAGCTATACCATGACCTGTATTAATGAGAACATTCACAGGCATACTCACACAAGTATTAGCTCATAGTAGACTTCCTTGAAGGGTGAAATTATGCAAAGGGTCAAGGATTTGTGCAAATTTACTAAAAGCTAAAGGTTGACTTCCAATTTTTGATTCTGGTTCCTGACCCTTCCTTTTATGTCTTCTGCATTGTCCCTTTGTGTATTTTGTCTATTATTAATTTAGTAAATGTATTGCCTACATGCCGAACACAAGATACAGGAAACTTTGTTTTTAATGTCTTTATGGTTTTAAATGCTTCATGGTGGGCAAAGATGTGACGGAGTAGCAGATTTAGGTAAGCTGCCGTCAACATATACTGAACCATAAATAGTGCACCTAAGAGCTCATTTATGGTTCTTCTATTTACAATATGTATGTGTTCTTATTACATTTACCAAGGATTATGGGCTCCGATACACAAGGCTTTACCCTAATAGGCATCATTGAGATGTGTGGCTGCACTGCTACATGTCCTGTGCTGGTTACCGAATGGCTCCTGTAGAATCAATACGTACACCTATATGTTAGTTCCTAATGAACATGGTAATATTTTTTGACATCACTTGAGCAGGCATTAAAGTAAGACACATGAAGAATATAACTGTGTATAAGGTAATAGCAGCTGTATTCGGTATAACTTTTGACATGAAGCAAAAACTTTGTGCAATTTAAACGTGTTACTTTGTTTCAAAATAGGGAACAGGGGAAAGGAACCACAGTAAGCTTTGTTTTGTCCAAATTCTGAGCAGCCATAATTATCCTGAGTTTTGATCATATTGTACCGTTGGAAGTAGCATCAACTCTAAATCCCACTTCACACACAGACAGCCATTTACTTCACCCAAAAAACCGCCAATAAAACAACAACGCTGAGCCTTAAGCCCCCATTCACACTTGTGTTGCCATCTTTGGTCATTTTTCGTGCATTTGTTATCTATAAGTTTTCTGGAGCGTCTTGGTTTTAGCCAATTGAAAGCTAATTACAGGGGAGATGGTTGTTAAGACGTGAAATGGTGCAATAAATAAACACGTTTTATGCATGTTTTTCAGGGTTTCCCACTGAAGTCTATTAGGGCCAAAAATGCACGAACATGCCCCAAAAAAAGCTCCTGTACTTTTCTGAGCATTGAGCGACAGCGCGTTGTTCAGATGTGAATGGGCACCTAACATGGAAATCAATGCTGAGTATTAAAGCACTTCTGGAAACATGTTTTACATCCCTTAGATGCGAATGGGGGCTATAACTAAAACCAACTGATGAATTAACTGTTGACAGCAAACAGATTCACTCTCTCATGTTTCTACTACATGAAATTGTGAATCTGGCAGTTCTTTCAGATACCTTCAACCCTGATGGTCAGTGTGTCTTCATGCACTCATGCCAGTGATAACTACCCATCCACTGCTGTCGTTTTAAAAGTCCAATTAATGAACAGGATTCTTGGGCAAAATGTATATGCCACTTGGTGGCTTGGGCATGGCCATAGGAAGGGCTTTAAGTTTCTTAGAACTTAGTTTTTAATGTACTGGTAAGTTGAGTTATATCACTAGCGTTTACATTTTGCAAAATGACTGCCTCTGGTGACAGGTCCACTTTATAACAAAGTGCACTTATCTTTTAGGCTTCTTTTAGGTGAGGTCACCGCTCAATCCCTCCCCATGCACAGTTCAATATTTACCAAGTTCTCATGGGCACCGCCTCTGTTGTTTTTTTACATCCTGCTGCAGACATCTCCTCTCCTAGCAGCACCTGTGCAGTACAACTCCATTAAATTCTACGGGGCTGGTCTTCCAGTCAGAAGATGTAGGTAGACGAGCCCTATGAAAGCCAACGTGCATGTAATGCTCAGGCATGGCCAGAAGAAGGAGCAATTTGCTGCAGGATGTAAACAAACAACCGCCGGGGCATTGGACCTCGATAAGTATTCATCTGTGCACGGGGACAGAGCAGTGACATTACCCCAAAGTGGCCTAAAGGATAAGTTCACTTTGTTTTATTAGGCATTTATACTTTAAAATGATCAGCAAACTTTCTTGTTAGGAAAATATATATATATATGTATACAGTATATATCATTCCCAACACAAATGGGACTTAGCAATTCACATTAGCTGTAGTTAAAGGAACATCAAGATTTGCACCCCATAACCATTATTGGGTGTCACTTTTCTTGTTGCTACCTAACGTTTTTGCCTCATTAATAATTTACAGAGCGTGCTCTTATTTTCATAAATACAATGACTAAGAATGGCTGTAAAATAACCTATATATACTTTAATGGACGCTTTTATAAAAATAATATGGAATAAACCTTTATACGAATATTTTCTTATGTTCAGGCTGAGAAAGGATGGCAAACAAGCCATTTTGTTTTTTCGGATGTACACACCAAATTCACATGTATGAACAAACATAAACGTGCTATAGTCATCAACGGACAAGAAATATACAATTTAAGCAAATGTCTGATAAAGCTTTGACCAGAGGAATGAAGCAGTTTATGTACAAGATTGTCTACAAGGCCAATGATGCTATAGAATGAGTTTTAGCAAAGAATACAAAAATAGGACTCCTGGTTCAGTGGTCAGTTAAAGAGAACCTGTCTTGCACAGCCATTTCGGGGACTGAAGCCTATGTATGCCAGGCTCTACTAGCTAAATCCTTCTTTCGCATGGCAAAGAGGAACAGCTCCAAATAAAGTGACCTGATATGCTTTTTTTTTTTACATTTCTATTGTACAACTAGATTAAAATTAAGGTAAAAGTTATATTCACGTGTATTTGTTGTTCATTTTACATGGAGAGATTTAATCTGGAAACCATCTCACACTACCCTGAGATCACAAGGCTACCAAAAGGTCAAATGTAATTACTTACAATAAATTATATAGGTCTAGGTAACTTTGCTAGATTCTAATGAATGGATAGGCTGCTTGGGGCCTGATATCCTAATCAACTGATCATGCCTTTTCTTAATATCCTTCCAGGAATAGGATGAGATCCACCCTGGAATAACAAGAGACCAGCCAATTGCAATAGAGGACACAGATTGGAGCCCTTAGGCTCCGGCTATAGCCGTGTTTTTTGACACCTCTCTGGTTCCACCATTTGGTGGTCTCATATATATGGGTTTCCAAGGTTTAACAACTCTCCTGTTTCACCCCAACTGCTGGCACTGCTCAGTGTCAACATATCGTACCTGAAGGAAACATGAAACTTTATGTATTTTGCTGGCAATTACCCTAAGAATAAAATTGTGATATGATTCTAATCTATCGACCATATCGGTGTATGGGTCTGAGCTCAGCATGTCATTTCACTGTGGTATTATCGATCCCCTGATCCATCAAATGAAATACCCCAAAAGCCTTATCTGAGGCTGACACTTAATGGAAGGTAGACTAATGCGTAGACTGCAGGCCCCAGAAGCTGCTTGGAATAGTACTTTTCAAAATGGAGTATCAGACTACACTCACAAACTACGCTTACCCCTTCCACTCCATGTGCAGTGGGCCTATAAACTAAACCTGTCATTAATTTAAAGATGCCAACCTAGTTTTATATATCAAAAGTAGGCACCACCAGCTTCCGAACTGTACCACTTCCTTGCAAAATGATTGCTGCAGGATCATCTGGGGAACATGCAGGAAGATGATGATGGTCCAGAAGAGGCATGGCTTCAATACAACCCACGAGCAACATTTGTACAATACAAGGGTACAACTGGGCACCTAGCGATGCCTACAATTCAAATCTAAAGCTATTTTGGCTAAATAATAAAATAAAAATCATGGCAGGTTTGCTTTAAATGAACCCTGCAGTGGCCATGGAGGTTGAATGGAGCTCAGCTTAAAAGCAATACAAACATGCACAAACCCTCCATTTTGAAATCCATACCCACCAAGTACCTGTCCTCTTTAAATAACCACTGCCGCTTGCAACATGGTAACATTTTTACGCCTAACAAGTCGTATCTAAAATAACCGTACAAATTCACTCGGAAAATAGAAATGAACATTTTGCTGAAAATAATATTTTACATAGACATTTTTTTCTGTTTAACAAAATAAATTAAATATACATGGCTTTAGTTTAAAATCTATATACGTCTCCTATAGTCACAAATTGCTTTATAAAGTCTCTCATCATTATCGTAATGATTTTAAGGCATCTCTGAAAGCCACGTGGTGATTATTATTGCTTTTGTCGACAGTACAATATTGCTTTTTTTTTTTAAATGTATGTTATTAATTGAGCATCTATGATAAATAATGTTCTTCAGAACTCCTGATTTGATTTTTCTTAAAATGAGAAAATATTCATGGCTGAGCAAAAATGAGGCTAGGATATGAATTGTGTTCGGGATGACCGTGGCTTTGCAATAGTGCTTCAAAAATAACAGGCACTTTGAGGGACGAGAAAGACAACCATAAATTCTATGATACTGACGAAAAACGTTCTTTGTTGCTTGAACATTCTAGCTTATAACTAATGCTATGTATTACTTTCTTCATGCAAATCCTTCTTCATTCTTAGGCCTCTTGTAAGCTCAAATGCTGACCGAGGCTGAAGGCCTGGCTATAACTTTAAAACATTAAGAAGGCACCATCATAAACTAAACCGAGCTTTGGGTGAAATACAACAGTGACCATTTTTTTTTCTTTTGTTCCACTAGTTTGTAGGAACACAGTGCTTTTTTCCCAAAAAACACAACAACAAAATAAAATAAAAAACAGCAACAATGACCTCCGATTAACCCGGAGATTCCTTCATGATTCCATTTAGGAGTAGCAGAATTCCATTGCATTATCTGTGACATTCCGTTATCCATATCTACTGGCAGTGTTGGCTGATCCAATCAGTCTTGAGGTACCGCTTGAGAAACAAGTTTGTTTATGGCATTTAACACTGATAGTGAATGTGTTGATGCTGGTGAACTTTCCCTTCCACGTGAGAGTGCGTATGCGTGTGGATATCTGTGTAAATCTTTGGGTACATTTTTGATGCCACTCCATTGGCCAAAAGAGGTCCTTGGGGAAGTAAATGCTGCTGTTGTGCAACGTACTCCTCATAGTTTATGGAGGAGATGCAGTCTTTGTCCACCATCTGCGGTATGCAAACTCTTGGCTGCGGCCTGTGGACAGCCGCCGCCGCTGCGGGAGGAGAACATGGCTTCTTTGTCTGGCAAAGCCACAGGAGAATCGTCCCGAATATGAAGACGGCTCCCGCTGGAACTCCGATTATCACTGGCCAAGGAAGACTACTGGACGAGATGCTCACAGGTGCAATAGGAGGCTTCGGATCTGCAGAAAGCAGGCAAAGCATGAAGAAAACAAAGAATGGATACAGATGATTAAAACCAGAGAAGAGAAATGAAAAACACATGTCAAGCATAAATACGTACTACTAGCGCACTATGGTTCTTTGATAACAAAACATCTGCCAAGGAGGCCCGTAGGCAGCCAACAAGTAAAACTTTGTTGCTGGTGTCCCATTAAGGTCTTAAAGGACAAACAAACAGTTTGCTTTTGTTCAGAGCTGATCTCTAAGGTTGTGTTTTATTTTTCCTTGCCTCCATGTAGCAGGATAAACTTGCGCCGACCACATGTGGTTTCCAAATACCATCGCTCAGCAGCAAGCCTGGCTGCCTAGCGCAAAGCTAGAAATAAAATGTGGTTAATTGTCACTAATACCTTCCTCTAAATGTTAACAAGCCAAACATTTAAACTATGTGGGCCCCACATTTGGCTGCCAAATTCCGCTCTGTCAGACAGTGCGATGTTCATCCAGTGCTTTCTCATTTAATCGCTGTCATTTTCCAAGACAATTTAAGCATTCCTGAACATGGCCCAATTACAGTGTGCAATTGCTGGTAAATATGTGCTTATATCAAAATGCTGGATGATGCTCCTACTGTTTAACTGCTCCGCTCGATTTATCTTAGGGCTTCTAAAATGAACCAGATCCAAGAGTTAGGGGGGCAGTTACTATCAGATTACTTCACTGAGCATTCCAACTTCTTGCAATATTAGGGAAATCTCTTATATCGGTGGTCCAAGACTAAACAGCAGAGAGACCCTGATCAACTCTTTTCTTTAGCAGATATGAAAGAGCAGTGTTGTGGCTGCTGGAGTGCTCTGGGCTGTTCTACTTTTCTCAGGACAATAAACCTCTGGCTTCAGAAACCTTGCACTGTTTACAGATATCGAAATGCAAAATCGAAGCAGGATGTCATTGGGGTGACAAATATTTATTTTTCAAAGCTGAAGACTTCTTTAATACTATGAAATCTTTTAAAAACCCAACTGAGCCCTTGGTTTAAATCAATTAAAACCATTTCGGGTGCATCAAAACAGAAGGTGTGCAAAGTCTTAAGAGTTGTTTTTCTTTCTAAAGCAGCCACAGAGTAGAAAAATCTTTCACCTGCCAGCATGCTGCAGAGAAGGACCCTTCCACTCTGTGGGGAAGTATTGGTCTGACTGCAGAGGTCTGTCACACCCCTCACTGAGTCAGAACTTTAACTTTGAATCCAGCAAAGCTCATATTTCCTGCTGATTAGAGAGCTCTGGCTCCGACTTAGCAGGGGGCACATGGGTCCTCTGCAGAGAGACCACTGCTTCCCCACATAGAGCAAGGTTCATACTGTGAAGCTGCTGGCAGCGGACTAAATAGGCTGTGGCTGCTTTAAAAGGACACAAACTGTCCTATTTATACTGCAATATATATATATATTATTTAAAGCAGCAATTAGTATTAGTGTCACCTTCTGTGGTTTGCAGAAGCATAAAATAGGGGAAATTGGTCTGTGATGCAGTGGCTTGCCTTCCCTTAGATCAAATGGCATTTCTCAAAAGGCAAGGATTTTTTTTTCCGGTTGAACACAATAGTCTCAATTCACAAAGCTAAAACATCAAGATAACGACACTTTGTTTTAAAAAAGTGACAGTTATTGTCAGCTTAGTCCAATGAGAATTGAAAATTACAGTCACATGACTGAAAATAAAGATCCTAATCCCTTGTGTAAAGCTTTGTGAATTGAGCCCACTGTACAGCATATATGTATTTGCTCACCCTAACTATACAAGCTTTTTAATTTTACGGATTTGCGGTTGCAGATGTTTGTTTTGTTCTATGAATATCTATGTCAGTGCATCAACTAACAAAGGGTCTGTTTCGGCATGGATGCTCTCCAGTAAGGGCTCAGACTTTACAAGGCTCTCAGCTCTTCTATGGAAATCAATGGGCTCAGGGCTTAAATGACTGAATCACTCTTCTCTGCAAATAAGCAAAAAGAGTTTAAAGTGTATCTAAACCCAAAATCCAAAAACGGAATATATTGCAGCTTACCAGTCCTAAGATGTGGTGGCTGCATTTGTGTTCTTTTTTTAGAAGAACATTTTCTGCAGGTACAAAAAATACTTCTTGACCTTGCCAGAAATGCAATGTGTCACTTCCTGTGTGACAACCGTGGCTGCCTCCATAGATACAATGGAGTAATGGGTGCTGCCACAAGAGGACAGTAAGGCCCCGTTCACATGTAGCGACTTATCGCACGATTTCCGCCACGATAGCGCGCATTTTTGCAGCTCGTTATCGCGAGAAGTCGCCGGCCAATGCTATTCAATGGAGCTGTCTTAACTCCATGTCGCTCGTCGCGGTCGCAAGTCGCTTCTACCGGACCCTTTTTTCGGCGGATTTTGCTTTTTTTCTATGGAGCCCGACGGAGAAGGTCGCGCTACCGTCGCTGGATCGTCGCCCCGAAAGTCGCGCTATCCCGGCCGCTGCAAAGGTATGTCGCTACATGTGAACGTGGTCTAAGTGTGTTAGTCGCAGGATCACCAGGTGAAAAATAAGGGGAAGAAAGCCTGAAAAAAAGGAAACGAATGCAGCCACCACATCTATGGACTGGTAAGCTGCAATATATTTTTGTTTTTAGATACACTCTGTTTCCTAGAAAATATCTTTAAACTTTCTTTCTCTCTGTGTGATGTATCATTGACACTCACCTGGCAGTACTGTGAGAAATGCACTTTTGAAACTGTATCCCATGGTGTTGGCTCCGAGGCAGATGTACATTCCTGCGTCTTCTTCTTTGGCCCGTGTGATGATAAGTTTATTCAGGTAGGAACCGTCAGGCCGTGACCAAACGTCACCGGTGGGCAAGACGATGAATTTCTGTCCGCCCACGTCAATGGTGGAGTTGTATTTATTCTCTGAGCCGTACTCGACCCTCTTCAGCCACTGGATCACCGGCTTGACGTCACTGCGCACTTTACACTGGAAGGAGGTGGTGCCCCCGAAATCCACTGTGGTATTTACGGGGTGATTGCCAGTAAGTATCGGCTTTGATCTTGTTCTCTCTGTGAAAGCAAACGACATGAAAATCAGTCGACAAAACACTTTGGGATTTTTTTATGAACTGTGTAACACGACTTTGTATCTCTGGTTTGCAAATAAAGAGGATGTGTCATTTCCTGAAAAATCCTAATTAATAGTCCGTTATTACAGGATCAGTCGGCCCTATACTGATATTTCAGCGTTTGGTAGATGTTAGAAACAGTTTATTATTATTATTGGTGAGATATCTACGCAGTTTCTGGGTCTGTACCTCTACCGTGGTCATTGTGAGAAGTTCCCACCGGCTGGAATTTTAAATTATTTTATTTTATAGAGAACATAGCATGATCACTCTGACCAATGAGAAATGCTTCTTACTTTTGGAACCTGGTCCCCTGGTCAGAAGGTCACTGTGGTCATATGACTGTGCTGACCAATGAGTGCTCATTATGCTCATTACATACTGCGGGGCTGTGAAGTGTGGCGTACAAACCTTACACTGGCTGGCAGGGGCATCACACAGGTATTACGGGGGTGGCTGGAGGCTAGGGGAAGTGGTGGAATGCTGTTGGCTTGTGAGTAGGTGAACATACCTTTTAAAGACCCTGCAAGCACAAAAATACCTGGTAATCTGCCAGAAATGTACTCACTTCCTAAGTCCTGCTGTGGGTTGACAACACACAGCAAATTTGTGGACTGAGTGGTGCCAGCTCTGCCTAGTTATCTTTTGCTAAAATACTCTGCCACATGACAATAAACAAAAATCTATCAGTACTTGTATCTCTTAGTACTTGGACAAGTATTAGTACTTGCAAAAATGATATTGGTGGATCCCTTTATATATGTGTATAAAAACAAAATCATACATTAAAACAGAGATGTACAAATCCCAGGAGCTCCGTGTGCTCCTTACGAATGACAGCTGCCTCCTAACATTTGAATTTTTCTCTAGTCTAGTCTTGGAGCTCGAAAAGTATCTGTACCTGTACCGTACTTGGTATCGGTGCATCCCTACTTCCAAAAGTATATGAAATAGACCAAAATGAAGCAAATAAGAGAGTTAGGGTTTACATAAACTTTAAGAGCATATAGGATATATAAAAATACCAGGGCTGACTCGCCCCACCAGACTCAACCTATTTAAATACCCCTTAAATACTTATACAAATACACTGTACATGCTACAAATATCTATATTCAGAGCTACGTCCTTACCAGTAGACAAGGATTCCACATTTATAACAGAGATGTGATTCTGGTGAATAACATAGGCTGAACAATTATGGGATAGATAAATGGGAAAAGTTGTGGTTGGATACATATGAAACAACACTATTATATTGCCCAGTGGTGAATGTTTCCACACGTCATAAACCCAGTCCTTTTTATTGTCTGTCTTTGTTATTTTGTTATATCCTGTATTACTGTACTTTGTTCTGCTGTAACCCAGCCAACTAACGTTCAGATGAGATGAGTCTGGTTGCTCGTACAAACCATCAGGAAGAGGGAGCGGATTCAGTTTCCCTGGTTTGATAGTACGTTTTGCTGGTTTCTGATACAGTGAAAGTGCCAGATCTGACATTAGGATGAGGTTTGATTCATTTTCCTGTCTCTGCTCCTGGTTTTAGTGTAAACACATGTTTTTAGTGTCTCTACACAGCTGCTTGTTGATTGTTAGCAGATGTGGCCCAGGTTTTCCATATTGTGAACACCAGATTGGACGCCTCATGTGCTTCTCATTCTTGATATCGAAGAAAGAGAGACGTGCCAAAAAAAAAAAAAGATATTGCATCTCCCTGATAACATCACTGCTAGGCCAGATACTTACGGATCACTTCCACCTTGTATGTAGCGTTGATCTGCCCCACCCGATTGAAGACTTGGCAGGTGTATTTCCCACTGTCCTCTGGCTTGAGGCTCTTGAGGTTGAGTGTCCATTTCTTCTTCTTGTTCTCACCGATCTCTTGAGTAGTCAGCGGTTTGTTATCCTTTAGCCAGGTGATCTCCGGCCTGGGGTTCCCGCTGGCAATGCACTTGAGCCGGACCGAGCTGCCCACTGGCCGGGCAATGACTCTCTTTCTCATTTTGGCTGGCTGTGTAAACCGTGGCCGTGCTGTGGAGAAGAGTATGGGTTAAATATAAAATAGGTAGAACATGTAATTGTCATTTCACAAGTTGTTTTTAACCTTTTTCTAAATCCCCAGCTTTCATTATAATAATACTTGGTGATCCTGAGTTCGTTTTTTAAGCACTTCCTCTTTTGAGGTGACAACCCTTTGTCCTTGTCTCCCAACTGTGCTCCTGCATTGTCACCCTGTCCCATTCGCTCATAATAGAGACTTGCATGGTTCACTGTTATCACTATAAAAAAACGTGACTTAAAAAAAAAGTAGTATGACCTTACCATGGCCACCACTGCTCTTAAAAAAAAGGGAACCATATAAAAAAAATGATTTTTTTTTTTTTTTTATTACCTATCATTTCATTTTTTCATTACAAGTATAAAAATCTTTATTTTACTAATACACATATATTACAGGGTTCTTTCTTAACAGTTTATTTGTAGAGAATAGGGGGCTATTTATTGGGAAAGCCCAGCACCACATGCTTATATTCAAACTTTATAATGGGAAAGCCCAGTACCACATGCTTACATTGTGATCCCCTCTGCATACATTAGAAGAAGGGTATGTGTCCTTTAGCTGTGTGTGTGTTATGAACAGAACAACACCTGTTATTAAAAGGCAGTTTTCTTATCTTACAGACACATACACACAGTTTTACTAGCAGTGTTCAAATGCGGATGATTAAGACTGTAGGTAAGGAAAGCTACTACCTCTAGGTGTTCGAAATTATACTAGTGATGCAACTTAGATAGCAGTACCATTTACATGTCCACTCTAGCACTACTGAGATGCACCATACCCCATATATGAAAGTGTATGAAATAATAAGCTGTCTGTGTTGCCTTGAGCAACCAATCAGGCTCTAAAATAAAAAGGAGGAAGCTGTACACGAGAACTCACCCCACTGTTTATTGGAAAACTCTTCTACATCTGGACTCAGTCCATCGGGTGGCTGGTTGGTTTTTCCTGCTGTATCATCTAGAAAATAAAAGATAAAAATGGTCACATAACTAATCTATAGACAAATGCAGTTGTTTAACTTTCACCTATAACTACATGGCTCTGATAAGATACAGCTATGCACACTCGAGAACTGGCTGTCGTTTTCTGATATCAGGCAGCAATTTTCAAGCTTCAAGGCACCTCTCAGCTCCATGAATGTAGCTAAAGTGTACGGTCGGGGCAAACAAAAAATGACATATTTGGTGCATCTTTACAATGTACAGAAAAATACCGGTTGATCTTCTAGTAATCCAATGAGCTCTTAACTCCCCGCTGCACTGAAATCCCAACAGTGTTGTCCTGCCCAGGGCTTTTTTGTGCACCACAGAACACCTCCCCCATGTCATGGAGGTAGGCCCCATTCACATCATCGTGTTTTGCGAACGGAACACTACAGGTATTCTGTAGTCCTAGCACAATTTCCTGTCCTACGGTGGCAATGCCGCCCCTCCATAGATTTAGTACAGCGAGTGACCTTTGTCACCTTAGGACAGGAAGCCTGTCGCTGGTAGGATCACCGGATGTGCATCCACCACATCTAAGATAAGCTGCAAAATATAACATTTTTGTTCTTGGGTTTAGAAAAAAAACTATGGCATTAGGCTTAAAGGAGAACTATGAGGTGAGTGAAAATCACTCATCCTCATAGTTCGAGCCAACAAAACTCTCACAGGTATGGGGAAAAACACTTACCCCATAGTTCTCTTTTAAATCACAACGCTTTAGCCCAAAGGAAATTTATTTTAGTAACATGACTATAATTTCCCAATCTTATCGACGAAGGAATCAGTTTGAGACATTTGACCCGCAGTTGACCTCCTTTCTGTCCTGCATTTGATCTTCTTCAAGCAGGCTTTGCATTCTTATAGAGTTGTATGACCCAATAACCCATCAACACAAACTTTACCTTTTTTAAATAGGGATTCTGTGTTAGCTTTGCGAATTAATCCTAACGGGTAAAAGTCAAATAAATAAGACAAACAGATAGATAGATTTTGCCTGTGTTAAATTTGTTCCAGAATTTCTCCTTAATCATAGAATTTCTCTTTAAATAATTATTTTGGCAATTATAAAACTAGTGAAGTGGAACCGACTCTCAAAGCACCACAAAGAATCCCAGAATATTTTTCAATGTTCTCCATCTGTAGAAATTACTACTGGCCTTTCCATTCAATTTCCAGTCTGTCCAAATATTTAAACATCAGTTTGTAGACTGTTTCAGCCCACATCATTCTGAAATATTTATGCTGCTGTTCATCATGAAAGTGAATAAGTAAAATTGTGTATATACAGCAAGACAAATGATGGAACAGAGGAGCAGAAGCTCAGCAACAGCGAGTAAAAGTCAGAACGTATCAGGAAAGAAATGCAAGGTATCAATTTTTCTGATTACACCCAAAAGCAGCAGACATTTATTGACTTAATGCAGAATCTCTTCCCACCAGGGCTGTGGGCTTCCAAGAGCTCTGACTTGAAAGCAATGGAAATGTCTTTAAAACTGTAATATAACACTGAAGTCACAGAAGACAAAGTCCATGTAGGGCCCCATCAAACGTGAAGAGGAATTTTCAGAACAATTCTCACGAGCTTCTCCTAGTACTTCAATCCACCATTGAAATGCCTCGGGAACTACAATGCAGTGCTCAATACCCAATCGAGAAAGGTATGTCACAGCCAGGGGAGAGAGGGTAGGGGGTTGCCAATCCTTTCCAAACTTCCGAAAGCTGGTTTTAGCTTAGGGGCTATACCAGTGGATTGTGAACTCAGGTGGCACTGCAAACATACGAATAGACACCTTATGACACGCATACTCAAGTGGACCTAGACTCAAAAATGCAGGTAAATGTATATAAAGATTTAAGCATAGAGATATAATGAAATAATTAAACATTATTTGGCTTGGTCCACCACCGGGTCATGTGACCAACGATAAGTTACTGGTCATATGGTTTCTGCAGAGGGCTGATATCAAGAGACCGCTCAATTAGAAAATATTATGATCATGTAACCGTTGCCTTTACATCGGTCATGTGACAATTTTAGCTCTGCCATTCCCTTTTAATATCTTTATAGGTGTCAAACATGTATTTAAATACAGCTTTTAGTATAGGTCTTTTTTTAGGGTTTATGCCACAGATTTAGGGACGACAAATCAGTGCCCAACATTTGTATTCTTTATATATATATATATATACATATATATATATATATATACACACACACACACACACACACACAACACACACACAAAAGTGAATGGCATTTTTTTCACACACACACACACACACAACATACACACAAAAGTGACTGGCATTCCCAAGGCCTGATTTGCTGCCAGGTCTTTGATGTTATCCGCGTTCCCTCAAATCTATATGATCCTTTTAAGATGTAAGTATCCCGTTGTTAGCCAGCCAAATAACTGAAAACCTGTGCAGTTACTGACAAGATGCAGGCTGCATCCCACAAATGTTAGCGGAGGGGAAGATTACAGGAGCACCGCACCCACTCAGCAAATAATTATTTGCAGTGAAGGACATCTATGTCAGCTGTTCACTCCAAACACATATTGAAGAAACAATGGCACATAGGTATTTACAGCTCTTAAATGTGTTTAATATATATTGAGGGAAGTATCTCAATTATAAAAAGGTGGTAAAGTTGTCCAGAGGACTCAATTTGATTTGTGTCCATCATTCTCCACTTCTGGTTAGAATGAGAATGCTAACTTGATGCTGTGGGCAAGAACACAATTTTTCCTTAGCTCCAGAGTTAATAGACCAACCAACTGTGAGCCTCATTTATTCATCGTGCCTATTGTGAAAAGGTATGTTATTTTGTTATGAGCGGGCGCTGCATAGAAAAGTAAGCATGACAACAGCTGCAGGTGACAGATACAACTGCATTTGTCTTCTGGCAACCAAGCAGCAGATCCCCGGGAGCAATGAAAGCACAAATGTAATTAATGTCTATTATTTTCTGCAAATTTGTATTTACACCCAAGGTTGTCAATTCTCCTAGTGATCTCTTGTGTCTGACTGCGATCTTTGTCTTCAGTTTCAGTGTAGTATACATTCAGAAAAAAAGCAAATTGGAGGATTTAATCTGGTATGCCAGATGATGACAACAAACAGTTGTTGGATCGTTCCTCATGTCTAAGAACATATAAGAATATTGGTGCCAGTCTTAAAGGGGATTTTTACATTAAGCTCTGAAAAGGAAATCCCTTCAACTTGCTGAGCAATTATACCCAACAAATATATTACTGCTCCTACACCTTTGCTACCCCACTGTGGGTGTGTTCCAGAATGATACATCTCCAGGATTAGAAAACTTTTAAAAGCATTATGCTGAAACGGCCAGGATGCACTGAACTCTCTTAGCAAAGAAGCTGCATATTGGGAAACTGGAGGGAACTGATCCTTGGGAGTATAAGACATGCATCCTCTGTTGGCCATAATGCTTCAGGAAGTGAAGGGAGTTAGGTGAAGGTGGAAAACCCCATTTAATTTTCTTCAAGCAGTTTTCCTATTTAGCAGGTTATGTCCTGGCAAAAATCGACCCAACTCAAAGCTCACCTTGTACTTTAATGCATTACATTTCGTTGACTGCAAAAAAAATAATGTATGTTTGCCTTAGGCCGACACATAAAAATGGCTATTCTCATAAAGAAATCCCAAAAGTAAGGTGTGACCCCTAAATGGCCCCTATAAAAACTATCAAGAATGGTATGAACGGTGGACTGGTATCCTTCACCTGCCCAAGCCTGGGTACAAGCACTTCTCCTTTTCTGTTATTTAACATTTGCAACCAGCTGTATTTCTGACAAGCTCATTTCCTTTCTTCCAAATCGGAAGTTTAGATCCTGAAATGAAGCCAAGTAAAACTTTAATAAGTCCAATGGAAAGGTATCAGGTTCAGCAGATGTTTTTACCTTTAGTGAAATGATGGGGCCCTTTCAGGCTGAGCCCATTCACAGCAAGATCCCCTCACTGGAAGAGCTATGAAGGATAAAGTATTTAGAGGTCTGCAAATTCTAGTGTGCTGCCCTTTAATGGTTAGGTCATCTTGTTTATGTGTCTCGGATTAATCAGTTCAATAATACATTATAACTTAAAAAACAAATATAACTTAATACCATGGGGCTTTTCCCTTAATTATTATCTTCCATGCATCATTCTCCTTTCCTCTTTGAGATTTTTTTTTTCTTAATGGCTTACGATGGAACTTTTCCACACTGACTTTTCAACACTTCTGAAGGGCTCTCTTCTGTCTTCCCTGAAAGGTGTTCTATCATGGATCTTGGTCTCCACAGGTGTTTTTAGAGTATCCTACTAGGGTTCTTCATCAAAGAGGTTTATATCACTGAATTCTCCTCGTTATATGGATTCAGTATTGATTGTCTACACTAAAAGTTTCACAACTGTAGGAGCTAGCTAGAAACGTTCCTTATCACTGGGCATCCATGAAAAGGTATTTTAGAGGGAGAAGCCTGATGGGGTTAGAACAGGAAAGCTGAAATAATCTAAAGGTATAGAAATACTGGAGTGCTGCATCTTTGGTATGGACTATTATTATTATTATACCGGATTTATATAGCGCCAACAGTTTGCTCAGCGCTTTACAATATAAGGATGACATTACAATTACAATACAATTCACGACAAGATGGTAAGGAGGGCCATGCCCGTGAGGGCTTACAGTCTAAAAAGGAGGGGGTAGTGATACATGAGGAGGTAGCTGTTCGGGAATGAATTGTTTGAGAACGTGAATATTAACAGTTTACAGTTGTCTATGAATCATTGCAACCAGCACATTTTGTAACACGAACCAGTGTGTTTTTGTAATAATAATTTTTTGATATTAATCAAGAGATGTGTACATTTTAAGTGCACATCTTGAGAGAAAACCTGTTGCATGATCACATGAAAAAAAAAGTGACTCCTAAGCAGCTCCAGGTGACAAAAAGTTCTGTTATG